TAGAGATAGAGATAGAGATAGAGATAGAGATAGAGATAGAGATAGAGATAGAGTTGTTAAGTGCCATCGAGTCGTAGATGAATCATAGCGACCCTACGAATGAAAGACCTGAGCACTTGTATAATTTTCATCGTTTCTCCAAATTCATAGAGTTTCTGGAAGCAAACTATTTTAAAAGTGGATTCTACTCCTGCTTCCAAGCTTGTTTTAATCAGGAGCTTCACCAAACACTGTCCAGCATAGGTAATCACATTTGACACATCAGTGTCACAGTGTTTATATAATATATATAATTTTGTGTGTGTGATTTTAATGAAAGTTTACAGACAATTTGGATTTCCATTCACTCCTTGTTGCACATTTTCCTCCCTACTCGTGCCCAGTTTTCTCTTTTCTCTTAAAAAAAATTCACTGTTGCACAATTTCTTCCCTCAACTGCACCCCAGTCCACTTCTCTATGTACCTCTTATTCTGGACTGTTGTCATGCAAATAATGCCTAATCATATATTACTTTTACACAGTTCTTTCCCTCATCTGGTCCAATGCAGTGTTCATTATTTATTCTCTCTTTTCTCAGTTTGCCCCAACCCCTATGTCAGTCCCATTCTACAACAGTGGCATTATGCTATATTTGTCCTTTTACAACTGATATATTTCATTCACCATAATGTCCTCCAGTGTTACACATTTTGTACAATATCTTACGAGTTCCTTGTTTTTCATTACTGTGTAAGATTCCATTGTGTGAATACACTGCAGCTTCACTATCCATTAATTTGTTGGCAGACACTTGGGTTGTTTCCATCTCTTTGCTATTGTGAACAATGCAACAAGAAGCATGGGTATGCATATATCTGCTTGGGTGGCAGCTCTGGTTTCTTTAGGGTATATTTCCAGTAGTGGCACTGCTGGTCAAATGGTATTTCTATTTCCAAGTTTTTGAGAAAACACTGTACTACCTTGCATAGTGACTGCATCATTTTACACTCCCACCACCAGTGAATAAGGTTTCAAATTTCTCCACAACCTCGCCAGCATTTGTTGTTTATTATTCTGTTGAACTTTGCTATTGTTACTGTGGTGAGATGATATCTCATAGTTGTTTTGATTTGCATCTCTCTTAGAGCCAGGGATTTTGAACATTTCTTCATGTGCTTGTTGGCCATCTGGATGTCTTCTTTGGTGAGATGTCTATATCCTGTGCCCAATTTGCAACTGAGCTGTTTACCTTTATCTTGTTGACGTGCTAGAGTATTCTATAAATTTTAGATATAAGTCCCTGATCTGACATGTCGTTACCAAATATTTTTTCCCAGTCTGTGGTTTTCCTTTTTACACTGATGGAGAAGTTTTTTTTGATGTGCATAGGGATTTGATTCTTAGAAGGTATCATTCATATGTTTTATTCTTTCCTGGCAGTAAGTCAATCTCTAGATTTCATATACGTTACCTCATTGTTCTTTGGCCTCCAGAGTTTCTGTGGAGAAATTAAAGCTTAGGTGTAGTGGCTCTCCTTTGTAACTAACTTTTGTTTATCCTGAGCTATTTTCAGGATCCTGACTTTGGTTTTGGAAATTTTGACAATGCTCTATCTTGGGGACTTCTCTTTGGGGGTCTACAATTTCTAGAGGGCATTGGAGACTTTGAATGCTTATCTTCTCCTCTTTTATATTAGAGAAATTTCTTTACCACAAATCACTGCCAGTTTGTTTTATGGTTTGTTTTTTTTCTTTGCCAATTGCTATTTCTGGAATTCTGATCCCATTAATGTTGAGTCATTCTCGTTCACTAGGGTTACTGGTGGTCCTGGAGTGTGTGCAAAAGGACTTGGCTACAATACCTTGAAGCAGGTGAAGAATGCCAAGAACGGATGGGACTGAAAGCAGTCTCAGACTTCCTGGAGCATGTACCATCATGAAAGGGATCTGGAAGATCTCTGTTAAACAAAGACTATGTTCTGATGTTCTTGATAAGGTTAAGAGTGCAGTAAGACCTTGCTCAGAAATACAAAGATGTTTTCTTGAAAGCTGTTCATACTTATCTATGCTTTTCATATACCTATGCTTTGTTCCATATGTTTAAACATTTACCCCATGAGAGCAAGTTTTACCATAAAAGTCTTCTCTAGCTTTAATGGTAAAGATTGACTAAGCACATTAGTAAAACTAAAAGTTTTCCCCATGATTTAAAGGCTGGTAGCTTAGTGGTAAGAACTCACACTGACAACACAAAGATGCCAGTGGCTCTGCAGAAGAGAGGTGGACAATCTCCTTCCATGTGGCTTACTGCCTCAGAAAACCCACTGGAGGGGCATCTCTGTGTCAGTTCTGACTCTTTAGTACAGAACAATGTGCCACAAAAGTAGGTGATTCAAAACAACTATGAGATATCATCTCACCCCAGTAAAAATAGCAAAATTTAACAGAACAGCAAACAACAAATGCTGGTGGGGTTACAGAAAAACTGTAACCCTTATTCACTGTTGGTGAGAGTGTAAAATGGTGCAACCAATATGCAAAGCAGTATGGCACTTTCTCAAAAAGTTACAAATAGAAATACCATTTGACCCAGCAATTTCACTACTGGGAATATACCCTAAAGAAACCACAATTGCCACCCAAGTAGATATATGTACACCTATGTTTATTGTGACTTTGTTCACAATAGCAGAATTGGAAACAACCCAACTTCCCATCAACAAACGAATGAATAGAGAAGCTGTGATATATTCACACAATGGAATACTATGCTGCACTGAAAAATAAGGAACTCATGAAATATTATACAAATTGGATGATCCTAGAGGACATTATGCTGAGTGAAATATCTCAGTCACAAAAGGACAAATACTGCATAGCGCCACTGTTGTAAAAACAGGACTGACATCGGGATTGGAAGGAGACTGAGAAAGTTGAGATAAATAATGTTACATTTAATATTACATTGAAACAGATGAGAGAGAATTGTTTAGGAGGAATATATTATTAGATATTATTGTCATGAAAAGAGTCCAAAATGAGAGCTGCATAGTGGAGTGGATTGTATAACAATGAAAGAATTTTTTTTTTTTTACTTTTCAAAGAGAAAAATGAAATGGGGGGGAAGGATAGGCAGGGAGGAAAGTGTGCAACAATGAATGAATGCAAATTCAAGTCTCTGTAAACTTTCATTGAAATAAATTTTTTAAAAAGGTGAAAAAGCAGGTTATTATTATAAAACACTTATTATGAATAGGTGTTGGTTTAAATGTTTCAAAGTGAGAACAAATTTGCACAACGTTAAAGGCAAGTAAAAAGCATTCAAGGGCAAATAGAAAATTGAGAATGCATAGATTTACTTTGTTGTTGTTGCTATGTGCATTCGAGTCACTTGCTACTCATAGTGACCCTATGTACAACAGCCCTCAACCCTGCTCTATCCTGTGCCAGTTGCACTGTCTCTGACACACCCATCCTGATTACCCCAGTCACTGAATCAATCCACCTCATAGAGTGTCTTCCCCTCCTGAGCCATCAGTCCCTCCACCCTCCCAAGCATGATGTCCCTCTCCAAGGACCTCTCCCTCCTTACAACATGTCCAAAGTATGTCAGACAAAGCCCCAGAATCCTTGCCTCCAAGGAACCACCCGGTTTAAGCCTCTCCAGGATGAATTTGTTTGTTTTCTTGGCAGTCCAGGGTACATTCAATACTCTTCTCCAGCACCACAGCTCAAAGGCATCAATTCTCCTTCTATCCTCCCTAGTCATTGTCCAACTCTCTGATGCATAACAAGTGATTTCAAAGACCATAGCCTGTATCAGATGCACCTTAGTCTCCAAAGTGACATCATTGCTCTTCGGTATCCTGGAGAGGTCCCTAAGAGCAGACTTTCCCATTGCAATACGTTTTTTTATTTCCTGGCTACTGGTGCCAAGAGTGTTGACCGTGGAGCCAAGCTGACTAAAGTTGTTAACAATCTCAGTCTCCACCATCCATCTTGATGCTGTCAATTGGTCCAGTGGTGAGAATCTTTGTCTTCTTGACATTGAGCTTCAATCCATACTGAAGGCTGCAGTCCTTGACCCTCTGCAGCAAGCATTTCAGGTCCTCCTCAGTTTCAGCAAGTAGGGTTGTGTCATCTGCATAATGCAGATTGTTAATAGATCTTCCACCAATCTTGACGCCACACTTCTCCTCATAGAGCCCAGCCTCCTGGATGATCTGTTCTGCATACAGGTTGAAAAGGTATGGAGATAGGACACATCCCTGGCGTATGCCTTTCCCAATTTTGAACCATTCAGTGTTTCATTGCTCTGTTCTAATGACTGCCTCTTGGTCCAAGTATAGGTTTTGCATTAGAACGATCAAGTGTTCTGGGATTCCCATTCTTCTCAGAATCAGCCACAGTTTGTTAATATCCACACAGTCAAATGCCTTTGCATAATCAATGAAACACAGATAGACATTCTTCTGGTATTCCCTGCTTTCAGCTAAGATCCATCTAACATCAGCTACAATATCCCTAGTACCACAACGCCTTCTAAACCCAGCCTGGACTTTTACTTTACAAAAACTAATAAAAGCACATTTAAGTGACAAAAGGAAGGTGGACTAATTTAAAAAGAAAAATGGACTTTGGGATACTTAAATAAATAAATTAGAATTTATTACTCAAGACATACCATCTTCAATGGAAAGGTGTGGTTTCTTTTATTTCATGTAGTTAGTTATTGAATCATTTTGTTAGTACATTTTTCATAAGCAAATTAGCATCTTTGAACCTACCACTGAACTAAAGAGCTGTTAACTTTTATCCAGCGATGGAACCCTGTCTCGTCTCTCCTCCTGCATGGTGTTGACAAGGCTCTCTCTGCTCTCCCCACAGGGAGATATTTATTTCCAGTATCACTAATTTTTCTTCATTTATTCAATTCTGCTTCTTTGTGATTCTGACGTGTTAGCTGTCTCTGAAATTTCAAGATGAATCAGTCCTCCCACAGAAAAGGACTGTCCCAAATTTTGTAATTGGTTATAGGTAAAGTTTTCTCATCCACCACCACTGTTGAGTCTATTCTGACTTATGGTGAGCCCCCCATCATGTTTCAAAGGTTGTAAATCTCGAAAGTGAGAAGCTCCCTCATATTTCTTGTTCAGAAAGTCTAACTGAATTCAAGCTGCCAACTTTTGAGCTCTGCCTGAGTAATGGGGACATAGAAGGTAGTTGCCTTAGCCCACAGGAAAGTTTAACCCAACTCCAACTTACGGAAGCACAGTTCAGGGCTCAAGACCTTTGCTTTGACTCTTGCCCATCCTGCTCCTATTTCCCACCATAACTCTACGTGTGCCTGATCCTTCTACTCAAGCCACAGCAGAGAAAACCTAGACCCTGGATATGATCAAAATAGTCTCTCTTGTAATCCCTTCAAAAGAGACTCTTTCTCATCCTTCCCGACCCAGACTGTAGCTTCCTCATCTCTACTACGCTATTAATGAAAATTGGTACAGAGAGAAGGATTAGAGAACCCATAGTATCAATGGAAAGAAAGACAGAGCTCCTGGTATTCTTTTATAAATAAAATGCTGTGAGCTTTTCTGTTATATAAACATCCAAGTTCATTGTAACCTCGAGGCCTTTGTACTTGCTGTTCCCTCTGCCTCATTATCATTAATGTTTCGTTCAGCTCAGATGTAACCTCAGCGGGGGGACCTCTCTGGACCAGCTTATCCAATGCACCCCCCCATTCCTCCCTACACACTTCTATAACGTCACACTGCTTATAAATCACCGTTCTTCATATGATCTGATATTATTTTCTCTGATGATTCATTTACTTGTTAATGATCTATTTCCATTTGTTGTTGTTGTTGTTGATTGCTGTGGAGCTGAGCGTGACTCATAGCAACCCTATGAGCAAAGGGCTAGAAGCCTTTTTATAACTATCGTCATTTATCAAAATTCAGAGTTTCCAGAGGCATGTTGTTTAGGAAGTGGATGCCACTCCTGCTTCCAAACCGGACTGGAATTCACTGAAAGCAGAGACCTTCTTATCATGCTCACTGGTAATAGTCTCAGTTCTCAGCACATGGTAAATGTACAAGAAATATATGTGAAACTATATTGGTGAAAGCTGATTAATTTTATAAAATCCAATGTGACAATGGGAATGATCATATGAAACACAGTAAGAATGAAAGAATGTGTGAAACACAGTGTATATGAATTAAACACAATGTGTGTGAGTTTTGTATGCAAGCCAATATACATTTTCTTAAAAAAGAGAAAGAAATACATGTTGAATAAATCCATGGATAAGTCAGTTAATGACATAGATCATACAGTTTATTTGATAAAAATGTAGAGGAGCATTAAATGTTCTTTAACACCAGGGACACTCTGAGAACAAAGTATGTAGGAAGCTGTGCTACAAACCCAAAGACAGAGCCTCTCTCAAGGTCTGAATCCACCAGCAGCTTCTCAGGAGAAAAATGAGCAATTTCCTCCCATGCAATTTACAGTCTTGGAAAACCCAATAGAGGGTCAGCTATGAGTCGATTCTGAATGTTTAGTTTTTAAAAAATTATTTTAGGTAAGAGTTTTCCAACTCAGACACCAGCAAGGGCAGGACTAGCTGAGTAAGTACATGAAATGGACCATTTATAAAATGATAAATGGCAACTTAAAAGCACTCTCAGTGTTTTTGATGCAATAGGGTACGGGGTAGACGGTAGTAGAAACTAGTGTGTCTGCCTTCTACCTACACAAGGCTATTGTACATCAGTTCCAGCCAAGGTTATGAGAGAACATGGGCCTAGTATCTTTTAATCATTCAGGAGAATTTACGAATCTCCATTTTTGTATAAAATAGTCAGCTATTTAATGCAGTACTCAGGAGCAGTGCTTTCTAGAAATACTACATAACATGGGAGAGGCTAGAGAGCATTATGCTGAGTAAACTAACTCAGGCTTATACGGACAAATTCTGCATAAGACAATTATTGTAAAAGTAAAAGGATCACTGATGAGTATAAAAGTCTAAACGGGGAAGGAGAGGAAGGAAGAGGACTGAAGGGGGGGGTCATGAGGTCACAGAGTTTGGTGGGCAGGAGGGGATGAAGGAAGTAGGAAAGATCCAGTGGGGACCTGAAAAGATGGGGTAATAGTGGGCATAGATCAATGGTGAATAATTTTATAAAACCTTCATGGGAAGGATCATATAAAATACAATGTGAATGAAAGAACGTGTGAAATACAATGTATAGGAATGAAACACAATGTTTATGAATTTTGTATGTAAGTCAATATAAAATAAAACAAATATTTAGTTATTTAAATGCAAGAGACATATTTTGCTTTTTAAAATGCAAAACCACAAAGACCTTAAGTTTGATACGTTTTGCATACCACTCATCCTCAGATGGCTCTGAGAAATTTCACTGCCAGCACAAACTCTTACAGTTCAAATCCACCAGCTGCTTCTTAGGAGAAAGATGGACAATCTGCCCCCGTGTGATTTACTGCCTCTGAAAAGCCCCCGGAGGATGGGTTGGTTCTGACTCAACGGTACACAACAACAATAACAACAATGTAACTGATCCAGCAGTGCCTTTAACCTGGACACTGAGTTTTCCAACCCCTTGCCACCCAGGCTAGACAAGGTATATGTTCAGAAGGAAAAAATCACAGGGTCTGACAGCAAAGGAACATTCAACAGAGAGCTAGACACTCACCTTGAACCTGTCAGCTGCAGACTTGGAATTTGTGAGGCCTTTGACTGCGAAAGGTGCTAAGAACACTGACAGCCTCAGAGGACTCAAGATGGTCACTGCAGCGAAGGCCTGGTTAAAGAGGGCAGGCGTCAGTGAGAGTCACAGCCCCATCTTGTTCAGTCACACTATTCTCTGGGTCACCACCCCAGAGCTTCAAGCCACAGAACCAGAACCTGAAGCTCTGACAAACAGATTCTTCATTTGGTAGAGGCTAAGTTGGCATTGGAGAAGAATATTGACTATCCCATGGACTGCCAAAAGAGTAGACAGATACGTCTTTGGAAAAGTGCAGCCAAAGTGCTCCTTGGGAGCAAGGGTGGGGAAACTTCATTTCACATACTTTGTGCTAGGAAAGGCCACTTCTTGGAGAGGGACATCGTGCTTGAAAAGGTCAGCTAAAAAGGGCAAGACCCTCAATGAGATGCATTGACACAGTGACTGCAGCAACGGGTTCAAAGGTGTTAAAGGTAATGAGAATGGCACAGATCTGTTGTCCATAGGCTTGCTATGAGTCATACTCTACTCTGTGGCATGTAACAACAGAAAAAAGCTGGTACTGAGGAAACTAAAAACAACACTGAGTGTGAAGTCCAAAGACATGGGCCCTGGCACTGTATGTTGGTCTAGTTACCTGCGAGCCAGCCCAATGCCAGAGGGGTTTTATTGGTCTACTTTCAGAAGCCATTTACTTTTCTTCCTAATCTGGCTTAATCTGTAAACTCCACTAAAACCAGTTCAACAGACAAGCCTCCAGTTGCAGACAAGCAGTGGCTGCAATTGAGGTACTTTGGTTGAAAACTGAACTTGGGCTCTCACATGGAGCACAAGACTAACTTTGGGCAAGTTGCTCACTCTCAGAAACTGAGTGTCCACTTTGGCATAGTGACAAAAATTTTAACAAAAGTTGGTATACAAACAAACCTAGGAAAACACTGAGAAAATTCATGCAGGAGAGTTTTCGAAACTCTTAATTTTGCTTGATGCTTTTATTACAAGGAGAGTTGTGTTTTCCTACTTGTCCAAGCCACGCTTTTCACACCTTCCCTGCTAACATTCAAAATCTTCCTCCTCTTCCTACCTAATCTTGCCTGCCATTCTCCAGGATCCCGTCCCTGACTCTAACAAACCACATCAGGCGCTCAGATTCCAGAATATAAACAGCCAGGGCTACCTTGTGGACTGTCCAATCCATCCGCAATCTCTCCTCCTTTCTTCTTCCAACTTAATTTTTTTTAATAATTTTAATGAACATTTACAGAGAATTTGGATTTCCATTCATTCATTGCTGCACTTCTCTACCCGCCCAGCCCTCTCCCCCCGCCCTCCAGTTCGCTCCTTTCTTTCAAAAGTAAGACTCCCTCCCTGGTACACAATCCCTCCACACCCCTCCCACCCCCCCAAGTACATTCCACTATGCAACCTTAATTGTGGACCCTTGTGATAACCATAATACCCTATCATACATTGCTTTTAAATTATTCAGTCCCTCATCTGCTTCAGTGCAGTGTATACCGCACCAACTTAATTTTTAAAAATAATTTAAAACCCTCATGTAGACATGAATGAAAGAGCTCTGGTGCCTGGTGGTTAAAGAGTTGTGCTGCCAACCTAATAACAGGCAGTTCGAATCCACCAATTGCTCCTAGGGAGAGAGATAGGCGATCTCTTCCAGTGTGAATTGGGATTCCCAGTTCAAAGAACATCTGAATTCTTCGGATGTTAACTGTATATACTGCCTCTTCAGTGCCCCTGGAGAATCTGTACACCTGCCCTCCCACAGCTGCTTGCAAAAGGGGAGCCACTTTCTCCAGTGGGTTGGAAGAACAGAAAGTGCAAGGGGGGGGGGAAGTCTAGGAGGAGGGAAAATTAAGTTATCTTTCTTTTAGCAAAACCTGCAGATCTTTGAGGGCCTAGTAAGAACCTTCCTTGTCGTTATGGGGGAAGCGTGGCAAGCACTTACTGTTGAAGGGGTGAGTTTCAATTTCAAGGCTATATGGATGAGGAACATTATCATTGTGGACAAGGTTGGGAATACAAACAAGATAGTAGTAGTCAAGCTCTGGACTAGCCCACTCTTTTCCAATAATTTTCTTTCCTTCTTTCTTAGACCTGGAAAATAGTAGAGGAGAAAGAGGAAGAGAAGGAGGATGAAGAGGAGGAGAAGAAGGAGGAGGAGGAGGAGAAGGAAGAGGAAGAGGAGAAGGAGGAGGAGGAGAAGGAAGAGAAGGAGGAGGAGGAGGGGGGAAGAGGAGGACAAGGAGGAGGAGGGGGAAGAGGAGGACAAGAAGGAGAAGGAGGAAGAGAAGAAGAAGGAGGAGGGGGAGGAGAAGGAGGACGGGTAGGAGGAGAAAGAAAAAAAAGGAACACACTGACATTAACTGTATAAGCATTCCTCAAATAGCACAAAACAATCACCAAAGCACAAGACCCCAAAAAGTGAGGGAGCCTGACTTGTCATGCTATCACCAAGCTCTGAGCATAAATTCAGCTGTTCATACCTTCTATTCTTGCTGCAAATGGTTTCTCCCAGGTGTACATTTTGATCAGCTTAATAGAAGTGAGAACCTCACTGGTTACCCGGATGCGTTGGTCGCTGACCACTGCGGTGCGTTTCTGTATCTCCACATCCTTTTGGGTCAGGAATGCCTGGAGGTGGGATGCAACAAGAGTGTGTTGGTGTGCAAGAGTCTCTTTGCAAGGGTGGTGGAGTTCAGGCTAGTCTGACAGAGGGGACCAGGAGGGTTTCCAAAGGTAAACTCCACATGCAGGTTGAAAACATTGAGAACAAAATTGGTGTTGCATAATTGACTCTAACTCACAGTGACTCCATCTGCGCAGAGGAAAACTGCTCCATTTGGTTTTCCAAGGCTGTGACCTTTCAGAAAACAGGTCGCCTTGTCTTCTGAGGCATCCCCGAATGAGTTCAAAGTGCCACCTTTTCAGTTAGTGGTCGGACACTTAACAATTTGCACCTCCCAAGGAGCAGGTTGAATAACTGGATTTAATCCTGCACTAAGTAAATCCAATGTGATTATAATGCCAGGCCTGTGCTGAAGAGTTTTCAATGGTCAAACTGCCTCAGGCACTTGCCTGTCATACCCTGGCTCCTTTCTCTCTTGGGTCTGAAGCCAGGCTGTATCTAAGTAAAACTGTAATTTCTTTGCCTTCTACCACCTTTAATATTCTAGCAATTGCAGACACCCTTTGATCAGAGTAACTGTACTAAGTTAGAAAAATATTAAATTTGAAATAATTAGGGGGATACTCAACCCAAATGTCACGTATTAATTTACTTAGTTTTGTTACCCCCTCACCTCATGATGTACTTGACCTCATAATAAACGTCACCTGAAGTATTAAGTGTTATTATTAATATTATAGATGATTAGTTATTATCAGTTATGATGAACATTATTATTAAATGTTCAATATATATTCTGAGTGGAGAAGAAGCCACAGAAAGCTATCTACCAAGGAAAGTCTGTGAAACAAATCATTCCTCACAGAAATCTGTCAGCAAACCTCACACATCTTACCCATTTCTTTTTTTCTCCCCCCTCCCTTTAATCCAAATATGATGTCCAGGCATTGGTTGGAGATAGAAATCAAAACTCAACGGGGGAAAAAAACCAATAAAAGTCAACATTCCGACTCAGAGGTAGACCAGATTCCAGAGGCCTAAGATGTCCCCTGGGGAAACCCCATCATGGCAAAGAAAGATATTACCTCTAGTGGGAAAACCAGCAAGTAGAAAAAGGTAGAAATCAGCCCAGTGGGTCCAAGAATGAAGTAGGAGGCAATACCACAGGCAAGCAGGGATGAGCATGCCAGCACAGCTAGGGGACCGTAGTATACACCTTCAAACACGTAGTTCAAATCGCTGGTAAAGAAGCTGATGACCTGCAAAACAGCAAACGCATGGGTACAAGTATCCCTTTTCCAGAGGCCCAGAAGGGGCTCTACGTGTTCACTGCAGCAGGAAGCTTCACTATGTCTTCTCCTGGCAGGAGGACCTGAAAGGTAGCATGGGAAGGTACAGCCAGATATTTATGGTTCACAATCCTTCTCTTAATGCCTGTGACACTCTGGACATGTTACTCTACCACCCTGAACCTCAGTCACCACATCTATACAGTGGGAATAATTATATCTGGTGTGTTATTTTTGAAAATATTTTGATGAATGTCTAATGAATAATATGCTAAATGAAAAGAGTATAAGGAATCCTGGAATAGTGTATAATGTGTCAGGCTGCCAATACTGAGGTTGGCAGTTTGAACCCACCAGGAGCGCCATGGGAGAAAGATGGGTAGTGTCTTCCCATAAAGATTTAGTGTTGGAAATTTGATGGAGAGAATGAATGAGCGAGTCAGAATAAACGCATTGACAGTGCATTTTGAATTATATTATTATTAATCTTGTTAACATTAGCTGACTTTCCTAAGTATTTTACTGCACCATCTGAGGAAAACACACACAATTACCACCCCAAACGCTGTGGTCACACAGAAGCACACTCAAGATAGTGCCTGTTCAGGATACTTACCACATATCCCCAAGTCCCCTTCCTTCCTGCATGCCCCTCGCCTGGCCTCCGCTCTGCCCTCCCTGCTTCCTCAGCGTGGCTTATCCATTGCATTCGCCTGTCTCTTCAGCATCTTCACACACAGGCGGCTCTGAGTCTGGCCTCTTCAGCTCCACTCCAGTCATCCTCTGCCATGTGATGGCTTCCTCTTACTTCTCAAATCTTCTCACCAACAAACCTTTCCTTCCCATCTCAGCCTTCATGTAGCATCTTCGCTGTCCTGGGTTCTGCACACCAGGAAGCCAGCAGCAGCCAGTGCTTCCTTTTCTGCTGTCCTAAAAGTGGTCATACGTAGTTTGGAGACTATGATCAGCCTGTGACCATAACAGCAGCAGGTTGCTTCTGAGTAGAGATGACTCCTCATCTCCCTTTTGCTTTTCTTTCTCCCTTGCCTCCATCCTTTTGCTTCTTTCTTTCATTTTCTTTTTCTTCATCCTCCTTCTTCTCCACTCATATTTAAAGATCCCACTCTTCCATGCTTTGGGAGATTAGCAAACTGAGTCCTTTTTTAAAAATTGTCTTTTATTTTACTATTTTGTGTATGTGTACCATAATATTGGATCTGATTGCTCGGCTTCAGCAGAGCATCTGGTGGATTTGAACCACTGCATCCCTCTGGAATCGCAGTGCAGCTTCTTGCCACTAGGGCCACCAGAGCTCTGCAAACTGACTCAGTTTCTTATTAATTTAACCTAATATCATTGCAGTTTCCAAAATATCCCTAGAGGAGCCTTTGAATTGTTTTAAAGTGTGTTAGTGGAATACTATGCTGCATTAAAAAACAAGGAACTCATGCAATATTATTCAAAATGGTTGACTCTGGAGAACATTATGCTGAGTGAAATATCCCAGTCACAAAAGGACAAATATTACATGATGCCACTGTTGTAGAATGGGACTGTCCTTGGGGTTGGGGAGAGACTGAGTAAGATGGGTTCAATAATGTATACTGCACTGAAACAGAGGAGGGAGAAAACTGTTTAAAAGAGATATATCACTAGGTATTTCTGTCATCACAGGAGACTAGAGCGAGGGCTACATGGTGGAGGGGACCTGGGGGAGGGTTTGTAAAACAATGAAAGAATGTTTTCTCTTACTTTTCCATCATTTTTGGACTCATGTACTTATAACTTGTTAGTCAAATTTGTGTCTTCTAGGTTGCAACACCCCCATGATACATCTTCAAGGATATGAACATGTACGGCCAAGCCCAATCAATAAGAGTGCATCTAAATTCCAAAATCAATCTCCATAATAGTCTACGTGTTTCCTACTGCCAAAGGGGCCCTTTAGAGTAGTGAGAGAAGATCTTCACCCTGAAACCCACAGCGTCCCTTTTCAGCAGGAAGTAGCTAAGAGAATACGCCATCCCCTTTTCCTTATGACTCAGGGTGAAGTCTCTCTCAGGGAGGAGTGACAGGGAATGGCAAAGGACACACTGACAAAGAAGATTAATCAGAACTGGCTTTGACAAGCACTGTGGCATTTGGACAAGAACAAACTGGGAGGAGGGTAGAGAGAATAGTGCAACAATGAATGAATGGAAACCCAAAATCTCTGTAAATGTTTATGAAAATTAATAAAATATAATTATAGGGGGGAAAAGTGTGTTAGTGTGTATAAAGCGGCATAGTCCCAAATTTTATTTTACATTAAAATTTCTTCAAACCCTAGAACCTGACGATTCCCTTTCTCAGCTTGAATACGTTCATGTGTGCTGCAGAAAGTACATCCAAGGAAATTCACGGTAGTCCTGGTCATCATAGCAGAACACCAGAAGCATCTCAAATATTCTTCAGTGACAGTAAGTGTTAAAATCCACTCAACTATGATTTTTGAGAACATGTCAAAATTGAAGTGTTAAGACCTAGTGCTAAAATCCTAGTGTTTGTCCCATATCTGCCATTTGTCAGCTGTGAAACTGGAGCCAGACTGAGAAGCCTCTGTGCTTTGGTTAATCTCATCAGTAAAATGTGATGATACAATTTCCTAGTGTGCGTGCAAGAATTGAATGGCATGAGATATAAAGCACTCTGTTTGGGCATATGGAAGATGCTCAGTAGCGACTAGCTATAGTTATTATTTAAAACCCTCACATTGCAGTTGAGACATTTCTAACTCAGAGCAACCCTTCAGGAGATTTCTGAAGCTATAAATGGCAAAGGGAGCTGCAGATTAATTCAAACCACCAGAGACGCACACCCTTTGTATTAACAGTGCAACTTGCTACAGCTCCAACCTGCCAAATTAGAATCAAGGATTCTGAGGCTTCCTCTGACATACTTTGGACATGTTGTAAGGAGGGACCAGTCCTTGAAGAGAGACATCATGCTTGGAAGGGTGGAAGGGCGGCGCAGGAGAGGAAGGCCCTCTATGAGGGTGGATTGATTCAGTGACTGGGGTAATTGGGATGGGTGTGTCAGAGACAGTGCGATTGGCACAGGACAGAGCGGAGTTTAGGGCTGTTGTACATATGGTCGCTATGAGTCGCAGGCGACTCGACAGTACATAACAACAACTAACATCTATGAAAGAGAATTAGGAAGGTAATTTTTTGCATGTAAAACTAATTAATAATGAGGGCAAAGATAAGACAACATAAATGACATTTTATCATTAATATAAAAAAAATCACCTACGAAACTATATTGTTTGTTTTCTACTTGTGGGACCAAGAGACAGAATACTACATAAAAAGTAATACTATTTACATAAAAACACACTTCCCCCTCCCCAGAATACAGTATGTTTTCTATGGGCTGTTTGAATGTGACTAAAAAATGCATTTTTACCATAAAAATGAGCCTTAGAGGATGAATGAGGTTTTAAAAGTCCTAAGGAGGTAAATTGATGCCTGTGACTTGTGGTGCTAGAGAAGAGTACTGAATATACCACTGACTGCTAGGAGAACAAACAGATTTGTCCTAGAGAGGGTGAGACCATGCTGCTCCTTGGAGGCAAGCATTCTGAAGTTCCATCTGACATACTTTGGACATACTGAAAAGAGGGACCAGTCCTTAGAGAGGAGGCACATTATGTTTGGGAAGGTAGAGGGACAGCGCAAGAGAGAAAGACCCAAAGGAGATGAATAGATTCAGAGACTGGGGTAATGGGGATGGGTGTGTCAGAGACAGTAAGATTGGCACAGGATATAGCAGGGTTTAGAGCTGTTGTACACAGAGTCACTTTGAGTCACAGGTGACTTGACTGTATGTAACAACAAGAAGAAGGAGGTGAACACGCCTGATATGTCCAGGGACTAGAAGTTGGCCCAGGTTGTTGAAAGGAAGGCAGCTGTAATGAATTGAATTGTGTTTCCCCAAAACAAATTCAGGCACAAGAGAGTTACAGTACAGAGGACAGCGGGAGGAAATCAGACACCGAGCAAGAATCACTGATGTGACAAGGAATAAATGCCTAGGACCATCTACAAGGAACACGTCACTATGGCCAAGATTTCCTGGCTACAGTGGGCTTGCTAATTCATGAAGAAAGACAGAGCTAAGCGTCTTTGGGCCGGAGACTTGCTGATGGAATGAAATGCCTCTGGGAATTTACTTGCCAATCTAAAGAAAGTTCTGTAATACCCGTCAAGGCAAGGCAGGCTCTAAGAGCAAAGATTCAGGTTAAAAGTGAGGTTCAATCCAAGATAGGTTCAAGCACGACCCAGTAGCAAAAGCCTGCCTTTAAGAATGGCCGAAGAAGCTGCCCTGATTGAAGAATTTCATCCTCAATGGTTCTTGTTACTTCTAAGCGGATTCTGATCTTGATTGAAATCCATATGTCCCTAATTAAGTCATGAGTACGGTCTTTAAGTTCTGTGTGGCCATTGCAATTAAACCTAACAAAGAAGCAGAGAGTGCCATGAAAGGTGAAACTGGTGTCAAAATTGGGGGTTTTTTAAAAAAAAAATAAATAAAATAAAAATGGTTGATGGTTTGAGTTGTTGTTCAACTTGTTTCTCCTTCCTGCTTCATGAAGTTAGAGGACTTCTGATACCATACCAATTTTATACCCTGGGAATTCTTTTCTCTTTCCCCTTCTTTTCCTAACCCCCTTTTTCTTCTTCTCTTGCAGTATAAAGTGGTGCTGTCTGAAAAAGAGTCAGGGAACTCTGATCTTGGAGATGCCATTCCATTCACTTACCTCTCCCGTGGAGATGTGAGTCAGAGATTTAAACTGAATCAACTTCTCAAAGGCAAGTGAGGAAACAGCTGTGCGAAACCTTATTGCTGTGTACTGGCTGATGACCCAGCATGAGCACAGGGCCAGAGACTTCAAGCATTCGGTGAGGAAAAGGGCAAAGCAGAGTCCCACTCCATAGACAATATTCCGTGATGGCTCTTCAGAATACTCCAGGATCCTTGGTATAATCAGTGCCTAAGAGAAAAAGAGAGCTTAGATAGTTGACTTTCCAATACTCTCAGTTACCAGGGTATATCACACATGTGCTGTGTGAGTGGGTTACTCTATTAACTGACATCAGGAGCCCTCTGGGTCATGGTCTAGATGGAGATATGGGAGTTAGCTAGCTGTTATCTGATTCCAAACTCCGTCAAGTACCTGGACCAGGCAGAAAAAGAAGAAAAAAGGCAGACAGACTGTATAATTCAGAAGAGCAAATGAAGACACAGACAGAATTGAGACACTACAATAACAGATGGCTAAGCACCCTGGAACTAACCAAAGAGAATTGTTGCCACGCTAGGCCTGAAGGAGAAGGGGGAGGTCTAGATTCCTGGAAACAAGGAGAAGGTCATGCAGTGAGAACCTCTGGTAGGAGCTGTGATCATCAATCTCCACTGACTGAGAGGGAGAGACTGGCAAAGAGGGGGAAAAATATTGACCTCACTTTTCTCATTTTCTTCATGTTCTTGTTGGAACCTACCATTGATCAGACCTAACTAGAGGACAAGAGTGCTATTGACATAGCAGATCTAGATCAGGCTCTAGGGGCTCCAGAAGGGTTGAAAATGGTGAAAAGTAGATCTGGAAAGCCGGCTGGAGACTACGCAGCACACTGTCACCTACGTCAAGTGAGTTGTAATGTTCTGTCATCTCTGTGATGTTCATCAGCTGTATTTCTTTCAGCTCAGTATTCCTTCTCCCTTGAGCTAATAATAGCCCTTCAGTGTCATTGTGGGTGTACTCCCTTCTCCTTCACCACATGTGGTTTAGGTTAGATTGTTAATCAAAATGCCCTACCCTCTTCTGCCCTAAGAGAAAGGATGACCCCAGTGAGGCCAATCAGATTGTCTCTGAGATTAGAATCTTGAGCTGAGGAGCTGGAGAACAGAAAATAAAGTCAATTTATCCCAAATATAGTGAACAGATACTATCCATTAGTAACCATTTCTCCAAGCAGCTGACATGTACTGAGCCAGACCATGCATGTTTCTGTTAGCTGCTCTGAAGTTGGCCCCCTACTAAGGGGGACTCTACACAAAATGCAATAGAAAATTGCCCAGTCCTGTATCCTCCCATGTGATTAACTACTTCTGAAAAGCCCGCTGGAGGCTCAGTTATGAGTCGGTCCCAACTTGAGTGTACACAACAACCATGTCCATCCCCAAGGAAGAAGGATCAGTAGTCAAAAAATTTGGACTTAATGACAGAAATGGGGCTGGAAATAGAAAGATAGAATTGTGTACAATCAATGATTTATTCACTGAAAATATATTTTATTAAAAACAAAGGAACAGCAACTATGCACATGGACTTCACCTGATGGACTACACAGGAATCAGACTAATTATATCTGTGGAAAGAATAGTTGAAGAAACTTAATATCAGCTGTGAAAACTAGGCCAGGTGTTGATTGTGGAATAGACCATCAATTACTCATATGCAAGTTCAAACCGAAACTAAAGGAAATTAAACCCACAAGAACAAAAATTTGACCTTGAGTTTAACTAACCCACCTGAATTTAAAAACCATCTCAGAAAGAGGTTTGAGGACTTGAACATTAATGAACAAAGACCAGATGAGCTATGGAAGAACATCAAGAATATCATCCAGGAAGAAAGCAAAAGGTCATTACAAAGACAGAGGAGGAAGAAAAGACCAAACTGGATGTCAGAAAAGACTCTGGATATTTCACTAGAATGCCAAGAAGCCAAAGCAAAGAGAGGCAATCAGGAAGTGAAGAAGGTAAATAGAAGATTTTAAAGGACAATACATGGGAAGACAAAGCAAAGTATTATAATCAAATGGGCAAAGAGCTGGAGTTAGAAAATCAAAAGAGACTAACTCACTCAGCATTTCTCAAGCTGAAAAATGCTCAAGAACAAATTCAAGCCTCTAGTTGCCATATTTAATGATGCTGTGAGCAGAATATTGAATTATCCAGGAAGCATCAAAAGAAGATGAAAGGAGTACATAGAGTCACTGTACAAAATAATTTAATGAAACAACATATGATTAACAGGAAACGGTGATGAAGAAGGAAGTTTAAGCCGCTTTGAAGATATTGGCAAAAACAAAGCCCCAGGAGATGATGGAATAACAGCTCACATATTTCAACAAACAGATGCAGCCCTGTATGTGCTCACCAGACTGTACCAAGAAATCTGAAGGTCAACTTCCTGGCCAACTGACTGGAAGAGATCCATATTTATTTCCATTAAAAAAAAAAGGCACTCCAACAGAGTATGGAAATTACCAAACAACAAAAACGACTGCAAGAATAGGTTGACAGATAACTCCCAGAAATACAAGCTGGGTTTAGAAGAGGCTGTGACACTAGGGACATCATTGTCAATGGCAGATGGATCTTGACTGAAAGCAGAGCATCAAAACAATGTGCATTTGTGTTTTACTTGCTATGAAAAGGCATTTGAAAAAAAAATTTAAAAAAAAAAAAAGAAAAGGCATTTGACTGTGTGGATCACAATAAAATAGCCAGGAGGAACCAGTTCTTGGATGACATCACACTTGGACATGTAGAGGGACAGTGCAGGAGAGGAAGACACTGGATGAGATAGATTGACATGGTAACTGGTAACACAAGATTCATCAGTCACTATGTGAATCCAGGTCTCCCACTTAGAAGGCAAGAATCCTACCACTGAACCATTACTGCTTCCACATTCCAAGTGCTTTTTGTACTTTTTCTCAATAGATAGGAATCCCTTGGTCGTGCAAATGGTTGGCACACTTGGATTGCTAATGAAAGGTTGGAAATTCGAGTCCACCAGGGGCACTTCAGAAGAAAGACCAGATGATCCACATCTGAAAAAAATCAGCCACTGAAAATCCTGTAAATCCCATTTCTCCTCTGATATATATGACATTAGCATGAGTCAAAATTGTCCCGATGGCAAATGATCACTGAAGTTATTATCTCTGTTTTACAGATAGTTTCCCTGAGGTCTATGCTTGTCAGGAGTCTGTATGTTCATAGGAGGAGTCTGTAAATTTCCTTGAAGAAACTGAGGCACAGAAAGAGTAATTAAACTGTTCAAAGTCACACATTAGTTAAATTACCAGGCCAAAGTTTGAATCCAAACAGGGGCTACAGAAGTCATACTCCTAACTTATGTCCTAAATCCTCTCCCAAAAAGTCTCACTTAATTGACAATTGCTGAGAGATGAAAGCATCGTCAACTCCTGGCATAGACTTAAATAAGCACACCACCGGTTCTGATCTTAATCTCTAAAGGCTGGAGTCCCGCAGTCTCATCAAGTTGGCCACTTACCGGCCCTAATATGCTTGCCACGCAGAAGAGGATGCCCACAAACACGTGCAAGATAAACCTTGTTCTTTGGAACCTCATCATCACTCGGAGTACCGAAGCTTTCTCAAGGCCGTGCTTTGAGACTTCCTCTTCCCAAAGGAGACTAAGTCTGAAAAAGAAGAGGGTCAAGTGAAGGAACATTGCATGTAGCCTCCAAATGTTCTAGGATTTCTTGGTCCAGGAACTTAGAGAAGTAATCCCTCAGGTGAGTATTACTCAACTTCAAACATCATCAACCTTTTGACGTTTTTATCTTGTCTCTCCTCCCCTTTCAGGCAATATTGCTGTTGTTGGTTTTTTGTTGAAAATTTCAAACATCAGATCATTTAATCAGTATTCATTACATAGCTCTTCCAAGTAAGATCTTTCAGTAAAAATCCTTCGTTATCAATCATTGTTGATATTGCGTACCATCGAGTCAGAACCAACCCACAGCAGACCCTCTAGCGGGTTTTCAAAGGAGTCTTATTTGCATGAGAGGAGATTGCCCATCTTGCTTCCGCAGAGCAAGTGTTGGATTCAAACCTCATGCCTTCTGGATTGCAGCGCAGCTTCTTACCACTGGGCTATCATAGCTCCCTCGTTAGTTAATACAGGAGTAATAACTCTTTAACAGTGTTTACTACTACTTAGTCTGTATTCAAATATTCTTAGTCATTTCAAAAATATGTTTTGCAGTGATTTTGTGTGAGTTGAGATCTAAATAAAATTTACATATTGCATTTAAAGAAGACGTGTCATGCTTCTGAAGCCTCAGTTTAATCTATTAATAATTTCCCCTCCTTTTTGTTTTTATGCTGTTTATCAAAGAAACTGAGAAACTGAGTTTCTTCAGTCTGGTAGGATTTCTCGGACTCTGAATTTTACTGATTGTATCCCTTTGGTATTGTCTATTATAAATCTTTTGCTATTTGTGTTCCTGTTAAATCAGTCGTTATATCTAAAGGCTTAATGAAAATCAGCGTTTAAGACATTTAGCAGGAAAGTATATCGTTAACATAAGGTACTCTCTGACGCATTGTATCAGAGAAAGCAGGTCTGCATTTGCCCAGTGATTAAGGTGGATCAGTTTGATCCATTCATAATTAACTTTCCCATCTCTGATCATCGCATAGTTTCACCTCCGTTAGGCTAGAAAAAAATTCTTATTTTCCCCAATTCGATCACTATATTGAGTAGCTGTATTTTTTTTCTATTAAAAAAAATTAGTTTTTCTTAATCAACTACTTGGCGCTACCCCAAAATAGATTTAATTCCGAAAACAGTTCGGGACTTTAAATGACGTCACTCTTTCTTTATACACCCAATTGAATTCATAAGACACAGAACTTTGATTTCTAAAATCACCTTCCCCCAAAAAAATCTATTATTTCAAAATAAGGTCGCCAGCATTGAAAGAGTTGAGGGAGAGAACTGTATAAAAGGAACATATGAATAGTTATTATTGGCATGACAAGAGTCTAGAAAAAGAGCTGCATAGTAAGGGGAGGGAGCTATATAACAATGAAAGAACTTTTTTTCCCAAAGCAAAAAGCCAACTGGGGGAGATGGGGGACAGTGAGGAAAATGTGCAACAATGAATGAATGGAAATCCAAGTTCTTCATAAACTTTGATTTAAAAAAAGGTAGCACAATTTGATAGGTGGAGTGAGGGGTAGGTAGGTAAAGGAAATGGGAAAGATCCAGTGTGAAAAACAATGTATACGAACTTTTACGTAAAACCGTACAAAATAAAAAATTAATTTAAAAAATAAAAAAGCTTTCTCAGTGTTAAATTACTAACCAGTTAAAAATATGTTCTTATTTTAACATTCCAAGCTAAGGACATCTGAGATAATTTGGGTTATACCAGCAAAACAGGGGAAACAAGACTTTTTTTTAAATTGTTGTTGTTGTTGTTGATTGCCTTCAAGTCGAGCACAACTCATCGCGACCCTATGAACAAAAGGCTTTAAGGCCCCTCTACAACTTTCGACATTTATCGACGTTCATAGGGTTTCTGGAGGCATGCTATTTAGGAAGTAGATGCCACTTCTGCTTTCAATTTAAAAATTTATTTAAAACTTTTCTTGAAGAAAGTCTATTTTTATGTTGTTAGAAGCTACTATTTTTTTTTTTTTTGCACACCCATGTTTATTGTGGCTTTGTTCACAACAGCAAAGAGTTGGAAACAACCTAAGTCCCAATCAACAAATGAAAGCATAGAGAAGCTGTGGTATATTCACACAATGGAATATTATGCTGCATTGAAAAACAAGGAATTCATGAAATATTATTCAAAATGGGTGACCCTGGAGAACATTATGCTGAGTGAAATATCTCAGTCACCAAAGGACAAATACTGCATTGTGCCGCTGATGTAAAACAGGACTGACATGGGGGTTGGGGGGAGACTGAGAAAGATGGGATAAAATTACATGTACTACATTGGAATAGATGAGGGAGAGAACTGTTTAAAAGGTATATGTGATTAGGTATTATCGTCAGGGCAGTAGTCCAGAACGAAGGCTGCATAGTGGAGTGGACCTGAGGGGAGGGCTTGTATAACAATGAAAGAATTTTTCTTTTACTTTTCAAAGAGAAGGGGGGTAGGGGTGGGCAGGGAGAAAAGTGCAACAATGAATGAATGGAAATCCAAAGTCTCTGTGAATTCTCATTAAAAAAAATAATAATGAAAAAAACAAAAAACAACAAAAAGAAGCTACCATTTCCATAAGCTTCTGACTTTCTTTCTCTCCCCAGACTCTCTTCAAGTCTTTCATTGTGAAGCTTTGCCCTCTCTGCTCTTTGCTCTTCCAACAATTAATAGTTAGCCCCAGCCCTAGACCTTAAGGGCACAGAAACCATGAGATTATTTCTGTCCTATTTCGCACTATTCTATGTCCATCAATGACAGAAACAGATAACCTGGGGAGGGGAAACTCAGTGAGTCAAAATTGCCCCCATGTCACCTGCCTCTATCAAAAAATTATTAAGCTAAATAGTCCAAATAGTGGGGTTACCTCTCCTCATCTCAGTGGCACCCCAACATGCACACAATCTACAAAGACATCACTGGTTTCCTGCAGCATTTCTGGGAACTCCTCTATGTCTATTATGATTTCTAGCTATATCCTCAGATTTAATCAAAAGACTCCATTTCGGATTTTATCACTTCCGTTTATTATCTGTGCAACTCAAGGAACATCATTTCATTTTTCTTAGTCTTAGTTTTTCACCCAAAGTGGGGAGGGGGGATGGGAATATTGTGATTGTCAAAGGAGATAATTGATGGAGAAAATGCTCCATAATAAGGAAAAAAAAGGTGAAGGATGCTGCTCATATGAGGATATCAATGAAGATGGTGATGATGATGGTAATGTTGCTTCTATGGCTGTGTGGTTATGTATATTGGTACCACTATTGATAATCATGAAAACGGTGGTCAAAAGTTTGTCAGCAAATTCTCATAAAAGCCACGGTCATTCTTCTGAAGGATTAGTAACGATGCACCCAAAACTCTGATTGTTGAATAGTGAACGTACAGAAATAATTCCCTTCCTGCTTAACAGTGAGAACGTTCAGATAATGATTTTTACAATAAACACTTGAATATGAAGTGATCGCAAAAGTGTTGATGGACAGACATTGTGAATTCGAAAAGAAATAAGCAGAATCCATGAACTAGAAGGGAATGGAAGCAAATTGGCGTATTCTGTATTAATTATGGTTAAGAAAAATGCAAGTCCACTGCCATCAAAGCAATTCTGACTCATAGCGACCCTCCACAGGTTTTTCAAAGCTGTAAATCTCTGTTTGACAGAAGAGTGCCAATCTTTCTCCAACGGAATATCTGAGGAATTTAACTACCATCTTTCCAGTTAACAGCCCAACATGTTATGTATAATGACACGTGTGCTCCTTAGTTAAGGAACAAAAGGCAAACCCATTTTTAACAGGCTGCCAATAATTTATCAGCCATTTCTCCAGGTTCTTTAAACTGAATTTACCACCTCCTTTGATGGATCACATCCCATGGGAGAAACTTTCTGATCTACCAATTTATACATAGTGAAACAGAGCCCAGAGAATGGTACTTAATTTGTCCAGCATCATAACATCTGACCAAAATTTGTCATTGACTAAAAGGGGCTCCCTGCACTTTTTTTATGGAAAAAAATTTGAGAAGCAGTAAGTCAAAAATGTTCCCAGTTTTTTATACTGCAAGTTTTCTCAGTGCCTAAAATGCTCTAATATTCTTTGTAAATCTCTGAGACTTGGTAACATTTCACAAACTTCGCTGACTACTGAATGCTCTTTTCAAAGAAGCTAATGGTGGTATAGTCCATAAAAAGTCCCCCTGCTAACCCAGAGATCTCATGGATTTACCCACAGTTTCTCAGAAGATTGATGGGTAGTTCACTTCTGTAAAAACTTAGAGCCTCATAAACCGATAGAGGGCCACTATGAGTCAGAATGGACTCTCTAAGAGTGAGTTTGAATTTGAGTTCTGTTATAGGACTAGAGTTCCTGGATGGTCAAATAAATTGACATGACTGCACCAAAACAGAAGTTTAAGTCCCATCAGGGGGACCTAGGAAGAATGACTTGGAAATTTATTTCCCAAAAATCAGTCATTGAAAACCATGTGAATCTTGGATACTATGGAGGTGCTATGAGTTGGAATCAATAACTAGGTTTTTTCATTTCTCTGTTTCATGAGACTATCATTTCCTGGAACAAGTTTTTTAAGAAAAATACTATTCCAATCTGCTCCTTGGAGATAAGATTTTGAGACTCTGTCTTATATACTTTGGGAATGTAGCCAGGAGGTACCAATCTTTGGAGAAGGATATCATGCTTGGAAGTGTCAAGAGAAAGTGCAGGAGAGGAAAATCCTAGATGAGATGGACTCACACAGTAACTGAGCTAAAAAGGCCAGGAGTATCAGAGACAGTGAGATTGGCCCGGGATAGAGCAGGATTCAGAGCTATTGTGCATAGGGTCACTTTGAGTGTTGATCACCTCAACTGCACATAACAACAACTTGGCATCTTATCACTATGGTATATTTCAAGTCAACCATACATGTTTTTCTTATTTGATTCTCATATTACCTTGTGAGGTTTATAAAAGAGGAAATTCAATCATACAGCTAGCTAACGGTGACTCAGTTGCCACTGATCCAAAATGTAGTGCTAAATAAACACCACCATTAGTTAAATACCTAATCCAAAAGAAACAAGCCAAAAAACTTAAACTCAGTAATCTCTCTTATTGAAGCCATGGATCCTTCGGTGAATCTGAGAATAGACATGAAGTCTTGCTCTAGAAAAAACTCTGTGCTTCACGTGTGTAAAACACACATCTGATTTCAGTAAATACACTAGCCCTGATCAAGAATTCCTATGTGAGGTCTCTGCTAGAAAGAAAAAGCCAGTCTGACTTTGGTTATCTGTCTTGTCGTCCTTAATCATCTCTGGCCACAGGCTTGCCAAGACCAAAAGCAAACTCACCACCGTCAAGTCCATTTTGACTCATAATGACCTTCGAGTGGGTTTGTAAGATCTTAATGGAAGGAGAGACACCTTCTCCCTCCCCCCCCCGCCCCCCGCCACCCCGAAGAGCTGATGGTGAGTTTGAACCACCACTAGCCTTTTAGGGAGCAGAGCAAGTTATAATCTTCAATCCAGTGGCTTACCCAACATGACTTTACCTTTTGCCATTTTTTTCCGAGGCATCATGGACTGACAGCTCAGGGATGGTGTCCTCGTTTAGGTGAAACTGTAAGCTTTGGGTCATTAGTGGGGTGAGCCATGACAGGGTCAGGAAGGAGAACAGGCCAGCGTCATCCTGGGACGGAGGAGCAGGAAATCTAGTAGAGAGGTGAAAGGTAATCTGGTCAGTCTGAGCTCAAAAATTAAGCAAGATCAAGATTTTTGAAAAAGTGAATTGTAACTATATTTTTTAAAAACAAACCAACCATAGCTGGTCATTCAGATAGACATATAAGTATTTTTTGCACGAGTCTATTATTTGTTGATAGTTAGAAATCAGAAACACCCATCAGTGAAGAAAAGGGGTGAAACTATGGTACATCCATGCTGTGAAACTGAATGCAGACATTTTATAGAGTTGAGAGCTCCAAGCATATTGTTGTTGTTATGTACCATCGAGTTGCCTGTAACTTATAGTGACCCTATGCTCAATGGCCCTAAACCCTGCTCTATCCTGTGCTAATCTCACTGTCTCTGACACACCTACCCCCATTACCCCAGTCACTGAATCAATCCATCTCATCGAGGGTCTTCCTCTACTGCACTGTCCCTCCTTCCTCCCTAGCGTGATGTCCTTTTCCAAGGATTGGTCCCTCCTTGTAACATGTCCAAAGTATGTCAAAGCTTCAGAAACCTTGCCTCCAAGGAGCAGCCTAGTTTAACCCTCTCCAGGGTGAACTTGTTTGTTTTCTTAGCAGGCCATGGTATATTCAATCCTCTTCTCCAGCATGGCAGCTCAAAGGCATCAATTCTCCTTCTATCCTCTCTTGTCTTAATCCAGCTTTCTGATGCATAGCAAGTGATTGAAAAGACCATGACCTGTTTCAGGGTTACCTTTTTCTCCAGAGTGACACCATTGCTCTTCAGTACTTTGGAGAGGTCCCTAAGTGCAGACTTTCCCATTGCAATACATCTTTTCATTTCCTGACTGCTGGTGCCAAGAGTATTGATTGTGGATCCAAGAAAACGAAAGCTGTTAACTATCTCAATCTCTTCACCATCCATCCTGATGCTGCCAATTGGCCCAGTGGTGAGAATCTTTGTCTTCTTGATAGTGAGCCTCAATCCATATTGAAGGCTGAAGTCCTTGACCTTCTGCAGCAACATCCTAACATTAGCTAAAATATTCCTAGTACCATGGCCTCTTCTAAACCCAGCCTGAACTTCTGGCAGTTCTCTATTGATTTGTTCATTGCAAATATGTTTTATAAGAAACATAAATGCAGGCTATACACATTGATTTCACCAAGCATATTAAGCTAACAAAATGTCACTTAGAATTTTAGTATATATTTTACTTATATTTACAAAAAAAGAAAAGTAGGAAGGTAGATAAAATATTATATGTTGTTTGTTCTTCTTTGCCATCGAATCACCTGCAACTCCTAGCGACCCTATGTATAACAGCTCTGAGTCATACTCTACGCTGTGCCAACTGTATTGTCTCTGACACACGTACCCCAATTACCCCAGTTACTAAGTCAAGCCATCACATCCAGGGTCTTCCTTTCTTGTCCTGCCCCTCCACCCTCCCAAGCATAATGTCCTTCTATAAGGACTGGTCCCTCCTTGCAACATGCCCAATATTATATACATACTTAAATATACACACTTAGACACAATAGTGACTGACTTTAAGGAAGAGATTGGAACTGACAAAGGACTACTCAAAGGAGATACCTGTTGTTTTAATATTTTGCTTATGTAACTTTTATAAAAATAAAAATTATATGAATATGGATGATTTCTAAGTACAGGAAAAATGGTAGGCAGAAAGTGTTGTGATTGTGTGTCATTTTCTCCTTTTCTTTCTTTTCAGAATTGTCTTTAATGTTGTGCATTTCAATATGAAGAAAAAGAAATTGTTAAAATATATTTAGGGACAAAGATGAAGAGACAAAAATGTCATACTCATGAGTTGGTTTCACCCTCCCATCCCCATCCTTCTCAGGAACCTCTTTTCTCTCTTCTCAAGTCCTTTAGATAAAGGCTATGCTTCTGGGCAAGTTTAGTCCGACCTGTGCCACAGAAGTCACAGAAAACAAGCATTGAAAAGGGAGAGAGTACATCCAATACAGAAAGTTAATCACATTTATCAAAGACAGGATGAAAACCTATGAGTTAGTTTCAATAACCCAAAGGCTCAACAGAAACAACTTGTTTATCTCAGAGGAAAATTAAGATCAATATTTTGAAGGAGTGACTTATAACCATATAAAAACCATAGGTGATCATTCAGATGTACATACCCCTTGATATATTTCAACAAACAGATGCTGTCCTAGACGTGCTCATCAGGTTGTGCCAAGAAATCTGGAGGACAAACCCCTGACCAACTGACTGAAAGAGATCTATATTTATTCTCATTTTAAAAAAAGTGACCTGACAGAGGGTGGAAACTATAGAACAACATCATACACGCAAGCAAAATCCTGCTGAAGGTTATCCAAAACCAACTGATACAGTACATCAACAGAGAAATACCAGAAATACAAACTGGGTTTAGAAGAGGCTCTGACACTAAAGACATTATGGCCAATGCCAGATGGATCCTAGCTGAAAACAAAGAGTGCCAGAGGAAGGTCTATCTGTGTTTCATTGACCATGCAAAGGCATTTGACTGTGTGGATCACAAGTTGTGGATAACCTTGAGAAGAACAGGAATCCCAGAACATTTGATTGTTCTCATGAGAAACCTATACTTGGACCAGGAATCAGTCCTCAGAACAGAGCAAGGCATAGTTCAAAATAGGGAAAGGAGCATGTCAGGGATGTGTTCTGTCTCCATATCTTTTCAATCTACATGCAGAGCAGATCATTCGGGAGGCTGGGCTTTATGAGGAGGAATGTGGCATCAGAATTGGAGGAAGACTTGTCAAAAACTGCAATGACACAAACTTGCTTGCCAAAACTGCAGAGGACCTGAAGCACTTGCTGCAGAAGGTCAAGGACTGCACCTTGAATATGGACTAAAATTTGGCATCAAGAAGACAAAGATTCTCACCACTGGGCCAATTGGCAGCATCATAATAGATGGAGAAGAGATTGAGGTTGTTAACAGCTACAGCTTGCTTGGCTCCACACTCTTGGCCAATACTCTTGGCACCAACAGTCAGGAAACCAAAAGATGAATTGCATTGGGGAAGTCTGCTGTCAGGGAGCTCTCTACAGTGCTAATCAGTCTAGGGACCAAGGTGCACCTGATTCAGGCCATGGCCTTCAAAATTTATTGATATACATCAGAGAACTGGACAATGATTTAAAGAGGACAGAAGAATCAATGCCTTTAAGTTGTGATGCTGGAGAAGAGTATTGAACATACCATGAACCGCCAATGGAACAAACAAGTCTGTATTGGAAAGGGTGAAGTTTCTCATTGGAGGTAAAGATTTTGAAGCTTTTTTTCACATATTGTAGGCATGTAGCCAGGAGGGGCCAGTCCTTGGTGAAGGACATCATGCTTGGAAGGGTGGAGGGACAGCGTAGGAGAGGAAGATCCCAGATGAGATGGATTGATGCAATAACTGGGGTAATAGCGGTAGGTGTGTCAGGGTCAGGGAGACTGGCTCACTCTGTGGCACCTAACAACAGCATGCTTATAATGTACACATATGAATGAAAATATCAAAGTTCTCTGCTTTTGGTGGAGATCATATCAATTCAGTGTGCAAATAATTAGCTAATGTGTAGCTTTAAAAATAAAATGAGAGTGAGAGAGAAATACAGTGTGATCAAAGGCAGAATCATGAAGAAGAGAATAAGCGTGATGAAACGTTGAGGAATCAAATAACATGGACAGCAATGAGGGAATGAATGAATGAATGAGTGCTTCAGGAAGTGTGATTTTTGTGGAGTGATAGTTTATTTTATATGTCAGTTTGGCTAGATTATTGTTCCCAGCAGTTTGACCAAATTGTAGATGAGTTTGATAATATTGAAAATATTCAAAGTAATATTGAAAAATGAGTTTGATAATAAAATTATCTTCCACCAAAAAATCACCCAATCAACTGAAAACAGAGTTCCCTGAGTGTGTGATGCACCTTGAGACCACAAATAGATATTTTGTCAGAACTCTTTTCTTGCTTTCTTTCTCTGAACTCTTCCAATCACCCACAGAAATCCACAGACTATCATCGCCTGACCTGCGGAGATATAAGTGTATGTCTGTGTGTGCGTGTACATGTAAACCAAGAAGCAGACCTTCCAATAGAACTAGAGGATACTGCGTGACTTCAAATCAGGAAAGGCGTGCATCAGGGCTGCATCCTTGGCAAGAAGCTGCGCTGCAATCCCAAAGGCACGTGGTGCAAATCCACCAGATGCTCTGCTGGAGAAGGAGGGGCAATCTCCCCCTGTGCCAGTCGGATCCAATTCAATGGTACACAGCAAAGAACTTGCATCCTTTCTCCACACTTGTTTAACATATGTGATGAGCAAATAATCTGAGAAGCAGACTATATTAAGAAGAATGTGATATCAGGATTAGAGAAATTTACCAACAACCTCAATAACAAGGTTAGGTAGATACCATAACCTTGCTAGCTGAAAGTGAAGACTTGAAGCCCTTACCTGATGAAGATCAAATGCCATACATAGCTTTCAATATGGATTACTCTTCAGTAACAAGAAAACAAAAAGTTGTCACAACTGGTGCAACAGGCAATATTTTGATAGAGGGAGAAAAGACTGAAGTTGCCAGAGATTTCTTTTTCTTTACATCTACAATCAACACCCGTGGACACTGGCCTCCTTCTCAGTTCCTGGACATACCACATGGTGTTCCTATATAGTAAGGTCTTTGCACTTATCATTCTGCCTGCTGAGATGTTTCTTCCTAGTCTTACCTTGTAAATCACTGTTCATCATTGCTCAAAACCTAGTAAACTCTCTCCATCCTATTGTCTCTCAAAACCTCATGCTTGTCCATCGTGCTCCCACAGATGGCAGTGCAACTAGTTGGGCATTTTCTTGTGGGTCATCTTTATCCCTTACGTGAGGTCCATGACAGCAAGGATGGTTAGTATTTTGCTCAGTGATGTGTTTTCCCCTGCAGTCTAGCATAGTGCCTGGCACTCTCAGGTGTGACTGATTCTCCTGACTCTACTCCACGTGCCCCAGGTGCCTAAAGTAGTTCCGGAGGTTCGTGGTGAGAGACATGAATGTGATGTGTTATATCACTTTTGGGAACATGCAAGGTATGAAGGTCTGATAATCATGCTCTGGGGTGTTCACCCCCTTCCTAGTCCCTCCGGACTCACTTGGGTTTGGGGCGAATGGGAATCATGGTCCTCCAGGCAGCATCGTACTTTCCACAAGGAAGGACATCTTCCTTCTCCAGCGCCCTCTGCTTCTTCTCCTGCTGGTGCCAGGTGCCATCCTTCACAGAGAAAGTTTTCTTGGGAAGAAAGGCCAAAAGAGACATCATTATCACAACTTTGGTCATAATCAATCTACATTTACGGTCTTCATGTAGGAAACGAGCATTGAGCCAGGACTTGGGTTCACTGGGTTTAGTCCAGGCTCTGTCCCACAACTGTGGATAATTCTGGGTTCTTTTCTGTACATAAATAATTTTACAGAAGGATATATGGTATTTATAGTTAGCTACCCCTAGAATATGAGAACATGTCTCCCACAGAGGAAAAACTAAAAACAAACAACAAACACAACCCAAACAAAACCAATAAAGTAGTAAATGTCAATATTACATTTCTATAAAATTAGTAACACACAAAAAAATAGATAATTTTTATACTTTGTATGTTGTTGTTGTTGTGTACCATAGAGTTAGAACTGACCCATAGGTGACCCTCCAGAGGGTTTTCAAAGGCAGTTAATCACATGAGAGGAGATTGCCCATCCTTTTCCCACATATAGAATAAATAACACTGCAAGAAAAACCAATATATTTGGGGGTTTTTTGTATTATATATATTTGAACTTTGTAAATAAATCAGTATAATTTTTTTTAAGTTCAGCAATTTATGATGAGAAAAGATTCATAAATTTGGTTATTTGAATTAGGGAGAGTCAAGAGTGAGATGGGGCAAGCAACAAATGTTGGCGAGGTTGTGGAGAAACTGGAACCCTTATTCACTGTTGGTGGGAATGTAAAATGGTGCAACCACTGTGGAAGGCGGTATGGCGCTTGCTCAAAAAGCTGCAAATAGAGATACCATTTGACCCAGCAATTCCCCTACTGGGAATATATCCCTGAAGAGACCATAACTGACATCCAAGCAGATATATGCACACCCATGTTTATTGCAGCTTTGTTCACAATAGCAAGGAGTTGGAAACAACCTAAGTGCCCATCAACAAACGAATGGCTAGAGAAGCTGTGGTATATTCGCACAATGGAATACTATGCTGCATTAAAAAACAAGGAACTCATGCAATATTATTCAAAATGGGTGACCCTGGAGGACATTATGCTGAGTGAAATATCTCAGTCGCAAAAGGACAAATACTGCATGGTGCCACTGCTGTAAAATGGGACTGATATCAGGGTGGGGGTAAGAGTGAAAAAAACTGGATAAATTGTGTATACTGCACTGAAACAGATGAGGGACTGAATAATTTAAAAGCGATGTATGATAGGGTATTATGGTTATCACAAGAATCCACAATTAAGGTTGCATAGTGGAATGTACTTGGGGCAGTGGGAGGGCTGTGGGGGGATTGTGTACCAGGGAGATAGTCTTTCTTTTACTTTTGAAAGAGAGGAGTGAACTAGGGGGCGGAGGGAGAGGGCTGGGTGGGTAGAGAAGTGCAGCAATGAATGAATGGAAATCCAAACTCTCTGTAAATGTTCATTAAAATTATTTTAAAAAATTAAAAAAAGTGAGATGGGGAAAGATCAATAGTTGGACATGATTGTCAAAGTCCTTGCTGGTGTTGGTGATGGACTTAAAGGTGCTTCTTGTTGTTGTTGTTGTTGTTTGCCCTTAAGTTGGAGCCAACCCACAGCTGACCCTGCAGTCAGTTTTCAGAGGCAGTAAATTGCACAGGAAGAGACAGCCCATCCTTCTCCCATGTAGCGTCTGGTGGATTTGAACTATGTGCCTTTGACATTACAGTGCAGCTTTTTATCACTAGGCTACCAGAGTACTTAGTATGTTGTTACTTTGTCATAAGTAAATAGACGGATGGAGATATAGATGGGTAAATAGATATGTAGGTAGATAGAAGGATGGATAATTGGATGGATGGATGGATAGATAAATAATGAATAGGCAGATAGGGAAAAGGTCATTCGTGAACCACCATGATGGTGCTTTTAATCTACTAAGAGGCACCTTGAGGTTCAAGTTTTAAAAAAAGGAATATAAGATTAGGGTTTGTTTTTTTTTTCATGACAAGATTACAGAAAAAAAATACATAGTAAAGTGGACTGTAGTCTTGGGAGGGTGGAGTGGATAACAATGGAAGAATTTTTTTTTCCTTTCAAAGAGAAAAATAAACTGTGGGGGAAGGATTGACGGGGAGCAAAATGTGCAACAATGAATGAATG